CTCATTGGCTCGGCCGTCTCGCGCCAAATGATCTCGCCTCCGATTGGTCACTGTTTTTCCTTAATAACTCGTGAACGAAGCCGTGGATTGCATTTTCGCTAAGGAAAAAGTTGCTTCAAATCACCCCAGGAATCACCTACTTTCGGATTGCGAGACATTTTTGGGACACCCTGTAGTATGCATCGCGTCGAAGTTCATCGTAACGAAAAAAATCACGAACAAAAATCTATGATCTCGTGGATAATTGTTATAGTCATTATAACTATTATCATAGTCATCGATAAATAAGTTTCCTGTTAAAGAGATCGAAATCCCAAAGAATCCGAACGATTCGACCGCGNTTAAAGAGATCGAAATCCTAAAGAATCCGATTGAAGTTCATTTCTCGCGTAGTGTAGTGGAAGCTTGAATTAAATTTCACATTGAAACACCGAAATTATTTTCCCGCCAATCCAATAGATATACAGAAAATGTGTGTATACAAAGTGTTCCAAAAATGTCTCGCAATCTGGAAATGGGAGGTTCCTGAGGTCATTTAAAGCAACTTTTTCCTTTGCGAAAATTTTCTCCGAGGCTTCGTTCACGAGTTATCAACGAAAAACACTGACCAATAAGAGGCGGGCTCGGCTGGCGCGCGGCGGCCCAGTCAACGAGTGCACGGAGCCCAGTTGCGCTCATTGGCTCGGCCGTCTCGCGCCAAATGATCTCGCCTCCGATTGGTCACTGTTTTTCCTTAATAACTCGTGAACGAAGCCGTGGATTGCATTTTCGCTAAGGAAAAAGTTGCTTCAAATCACCCCAGGAATCACCTACTTTCGGATTGCGAGACATTTTTGGGACACCCTGTAGTATGCATCGCGTCGAAGTTCATCGTAACGAAAAAAATCACGAACAAAAATCTATGATCTCGTGGATAATTGTTATAGTCATTATAACTATTATCATAGTCATCGATAAATAAGTTTCCTGTTAAAGAGATCGAAATCCCAAAGAATCCGAACGATTCGACCGCGCAGTCAAAACTCCAGTTAAATTTCACATTGAAACACCGAAATTACTTTCCCGCCAACCCCCAAAAATCTCGCCGCGTTTCGCGACCGGTTCGCGAAGTTCCGCGCAATTTTATCATCGAGCCGGGCTTACTTAGCAGCGTCCGTTCGCTCCGCGCGCGCAATTTATCGCGCTGCTCGATGAAAACCGTCGGAACGGATTTTCGGCGGGACCGCCGCGTGTAAATTCAAATGCGCCCGCGGACCACGTAGCCCGCGGCGAAACAGCCGCGCGATAGCCGGCAGCGGAATAAAATTACCGGCGGGAAATAAAATTTTTCCGCCGGATCTCCGCCGTCGGTTTCTCGCGGATGCGAGCTTTCCAATTTGCGTGCTCCGCGCGTAACAACCGGACGGACAGTCCTTTCCCAGGGACAGGACACGTTTACGGCGCGGCGCGGAATAAAGCGCGGCGCGGGAAAATTTCAGCGCCGCGAAACTGTTCTTCGCGAACCCGACGCGCGAAACCCGGCCACGGCCCGCGAAGAAAGCGAACCGCGGGGACGGCCGGCTCGCCCCCTTCTCCCGCAAACGAGGCTCTATAAAAACACGAGTTTGCATAAACATCGCCGCGCATTCCCGTAATAACTTCGCTTTGAAGTCGGCTGATTGCTACGCGGAACGAATGCCGTAAATGCTTGATTAAAAGGGAAACTATGGGGGGGTCGAGTTACGCGAATTACACGCGTCGCGTCCCCCATCGGCCGGGAGGACTGCTTTGCGGGGCTCGCTGGTTGTCGGTGGCGCGCGATAAGGAGCAGAGGAAGAAGGAAAAGGAGGAGGAGGAGGAAAAGGAGGGGGGGCAGCGGGGACGGGGAAGGCAATATAAAAGGATTGATTGTCCTACGACCGTGCTGCGAGGCGAAGTAATAAAATTGCTCGTCGCAGTCGGATATTTTCTGTGCGGTGCGCGCCGCCGGTTCTTCTTCTGCCCCCGTATTTTCCTTTTTTTTTCCTTTTTTTTTCATCTCGTATTTCCTGTCACTCTGTTCCCACGTTCCCAGCGTCCCCGGCGTTTTCCATCGTCGCTCGATCCCTTCGCGAGCGTGCGGCGAGCGTTAACTTCGGACCATCCGCAGCGTTCCCTCTCCGCCGCACCCTCTCTGCTCCCCATCCGCCCCCCTCGTGACGGTCAATACAAGCATAAGCCGACTGAAACGTCATTTAGCTGCAATGCCGGTGGCTTTATTAGATACGTTTTCGACCCGCTTTCATAGCGCCGAGGACAACCGTATTTATTTCGATAAGGTTTTATGAGTCGACCTTGCCACCCCCACCTTGCCACCCTCGCGCAGCCCCGAGCGACAAACCACGGCGGTTCGATTTCTTACAAGGGAAGTTCGCTACCCGGAAAGTTCCGATTTTTCTCTTTAAATCTGACAACTTTTTGGGGGGAGGGGGGATCTTGAATCTTCGTTGTTGCAACGGGTCGAAATGACGATGCGCGTTTGTTTATTGAGAAAGTGAGATTGGCGATTTATTAATTTTGTTTATTTGTGTATATGGGAAAGAGGATACAGAACATTTTTACGATACGGAATAATAATTAATGTGATATATAGAATAACTAATGGGTGAACATTATACACAGAGTTAATGCAGAATCGGCGAGTCAGGTTAGGTTAGGTAAACAGTTTATGTAAATTCGTTTTGGATATTATAAAATTGGCCGCGAATGTGAATATTTTTTCGCTGTTATCGTCAACATAGCCGCCCGCTGGCCTAGCACGCTGCACTATTGCTGTCGTGTGGTATCTTGGGGGCGGCAACACGGCAAGAAATGCCGTTGTAGCGGTTGGCGTGCGGTGCCGAGCACCCGCCTCCGCGGTCACCTGGCAGAATGACCATCACTACTTTCATATTATTATCGCCGGCTTTATAGCCGGCGAAATACTTAAAACAAACATACAACTCCTTGCAGCCGACAGATGAGTTAAGACCGGGTCTTCTGACTCCCCGGTCCAATGAACATAACAGCGAGGGCGCGATGGATCCAAGTCCCGGTTCCTTCGCAGCTGTTCACCGCTGACTTTCCATCGACCGGCATAAGTGAGCGCCACTTCGCCCGGTCAGAGCAGGCTTCGGCCTCATAGATGCTCTAACTAGACAATAACTGTTATCGTCAACAATTTGAAGTGTCCTGTGAAATGGATCAATCGCGCTAAATCTGGATGACTGAAGATTAGATTGATACATTTGGAAATAGGATATCGAGTTCTAAATAAAGGAAACGACCTTCTGCAATGACCAAATTATATTCTCAAATTATTGGACGTCGATAGAATCGCTAATTTCGTGCTGCAGGAAATATTCTCGAATTGTCCGAAACAAAAATAGACAATTCTGGAAGAGGGAGTACGATTATTCGAGCCTTGCGGCTCGGATTTATAGTTCCTGACAGTCGGCAACTGTGAAAATAAGCCGCGAGGCTCGGATAAATAATCTCACAAATATGTTCTCTAAAGTGATTGACCTTACATTTATTTATATTAATTATTGAATATATATATTCATAATTGCTATTAATTATTACATTTTATTTCAAGAACCAACTGTAACTAAAGAAGAAAAAAAACATTTAATGATAATGAACAACTCAAAGTAATTAAAATTACAAAACAAGGAGTTTCAAAAACATTGAAATGATAAATAATATATTTTTAGATTATATTTAGAATATATATATTTTAGATTAACTATATATTCTTACTATTCATTTTTCTAAATTGATCTTATTGATTAATTCTCTCACGATTAAATGTTTCATGAATAATATTGAATAATGAATTCTTAATAATATTTTAAATGAATTCTTGAATCTA